CCCCTGAGTTTTTTCAATGAACGGATGAAACGACTTACTTAAAAAAACAAAACAAAAAAGACGAAAGGGGTGAAATTAATATAAAGGACACCGATATGACACTACCCTCCCCAACCCCAGCAACCCTCCCTCAACTTAACCAAACTTCTCCACAACTATCAAAATGATTATCGAATAGATTCATTTATTTACTTGCATAATCTAGACACTTTAGGTTCAGACTGCAGTATCTAAGACAGACAGACAGAAAAACAGACAGACAAACAGAGAAACAAACAAACAGACAGACAAACAGACAGGCAGACAAACACACACACAGACAGACAGATAGACAGACGCACCAGTATAGTGGTAACCACTCTTGTCCTGTTCACATCCAGCTGTACCCTGTTGGCCTTGGGTCGTGTGACAGACAGACAGACAGACACACACACACACACACACACATACGTGTTTTGAGGTCATTATGTGGACATTGCCCCAAACCTACATTATGTGGACAACCCATATCATCCAAAGTTATGGGTGGAATCAATCAATATTTGCAGTGTAAGTCCACTATACAAAAACATCATTGTCCACCAAATTTCAAGAAGCTACCTAAATTTTTAGTCCAGTATGTTTTTTTACTAACGTTAGTGGGACATTGCATTATGTGGACTTTACGACCTCCTGACCTTTTGCACAAAGGTACGCAAATGGTCCATTATTGAGACTTCCGGAGCATAAAAGGTTTTTAAGGGCTTTGGGTGCCTATAGTGTTTATTAATTCACCCATGGGTTGGGGATATATAAATAGACCCACTGTCCCTGGGATCCATGAGCAACATCTTCTTTGGTGCATTTTCCTTTTCTCCATCCTTCTTTCTCCTTCCCCTTCTTCTATCATTTCTTCCACCGCTTACCCCGTGTGCAGCAAAACTAGAGGTCGTCCATCCCACAAAATGGGCGCCTCGTTGACCGTGGGGTGCGACCTGTGGAAACTGAGTAACTGGAAGTTGAAGTGAGATCAGTCTGCGGACTGTCCCTCGCCAACACACCGCTTTGACCCACTTTTTCCTCTTAGACGGGAGGATGGGGCGGCTTATGCCACTTAATCGATTTGGAGCTGAAGCCCCTCCAGTTTTTCCTTGGGTCAATCTTGATGGGAGGATCTAGTACACTTTCGTGGAGAGTATAACTCCGGAGTAGCTCTGGCTCAGCTCTGGTCATCCGAGCAATGTTTCCTCTGTTTCACTCAGTGGTGGGAGGGGAGCCCCGGATTTGAAAAGCTTTCCAACACACATTGAATCCCCAAAAACATTCTGACCCATCCCCAGTCCCCAACGATACAAAAAAGTTTCGGCTCGTAGAAGCGGGTGTAGCCACCGAGCCGAGTAGACAACCAGGAAAACCGACCTTTACTGCTGATTGTGCTGTCCCTCCTCCCAGGGAGCTTCCGGAACAGCGTACTTGACCATCCGCAATTTTGATGCACAGAAGAAGATCACAAATCGAACCCTTTTCATGACAGATGCTTTAACACAGACACTGGGATACATCCCCGCCGACGTCCAAAAACTGTTTTCTGGTGCACTCCTTGTATATGAAACTGAAATAACTGGACCCCTGTATCTCATGATGTTCCATGGTATTCCTGTGAATCTTGGAGACACAAGAAGTGCAACTGCTTGAAGAGCGTCGTCCGCAGTCATGAGATGAAAGGCTGCTCTTCAGAAAAAAATGTGGCTATATTGTGAGGGTGTGGTCGAAGCCCGCTAGATGACACTTCGGCGGGGCGAGACCGCCCTTGAAAGGAACACAATTGTTTTGACTTTCGATTCGTGCTGCCTACCAGCCACTGTTCGGGCAGCATACTTGGTCCTGGACGCGCTGCTTCAAGTGCCAGAAGTTTGGCCGTAGCCAGTCGTGATGCCGACACGCAGACGTGTGTACTCGTCGTGGCAAGACCGGGCATCCTGAAAAGGTATGAAAGGCTAGTTCTTTCTTTCTTTCACAATTGCCACGGCCAACACTTGGTTCCAAGGACGCACCATCCAAGAGTACAAAGCCCGAAATGGCTGCTCATTTCAGAAGGCTCGAAAGATTGTCTACTCGACAGTTATGACCCCGGTCCCTGGTCGGTTAAACGCAAAGGCAGTCCAGTCCGGTCGGTCTCGTGATCAGCCAGTACTTTTACTGCCAAACTCAAAGAGCCCGTGGTCGACAGGCGAAACTGCAATAAAAGCTAAGAAGGTCCCTCCTACTCCTGTAGTAACCACCTTCGAGGGGCTACTCGTCAACTGTTTCAGAGTTCTAGGGGAGGATGAGGTGGACTCTTCCTCCGTCCCCTCTTCTTCTCTCTCCCCACGCCCCACCCCTCTGATGGTGTGTGAGGTGCCCCCTCCCCCTCATCCAGCCCCTCCTCCTTCTTTCCAACTCCCTTCATCTGCCCTACCTACCCGTACCCCTCCACCAGATATCCCTCCCTTAGGAGGATGACACCTCCGATCCGGGAAGGAAGGAAGCCATCACTCCCTCCCCAAGTCTCCCGGTTGGGTGCTGCCCAATCAAGGGCGGCAGCCGAGCAAACCCTCTTCTTCCTCCACAAGGAGGAGTCAGAGCTCAGAGAAGACGGGACCTCTGTGCTCCAAATCTGTAAAAAAAAAAAAAAAGGTCTAATGGCGGTCCTGCAGTGGAATGCCAGAGGACTCCGACCTTCCATTCTAGAATTGCAACACATACAGGTTACACTGTGCCCACTTGTGGCCTGTGTCCAAGAGACAAAGTTCGCCCCGGCTTCAAACATTTACTTAAAAACTTCTCATCATCATATTCACGCCGAGAACCAGACAGCTTCTGGTTGAACCACTGTCTACGATACATCGACAACAACACCCTCCACAGACAAATACATGTACATCTTATGACAACCGTCGAGGCTATTGCTGTATGGGTCACCCTGATAAGACCAATCACGATCTGCTCCATATGTCCCGTCAAATTACCCTCTCAAATTTCCCAGCTTAATGACTCAAACACCAAGTCCCCAGACCCTTTATTTTAGTAGGAGATTTTAATGTACATAACCTCCTTTGGGGATTTTGGCAACAAGGAAAACAACAATAGAAGACTTTTTTTTATATTTCAAAACAACATCTGTCTTTTAACTGGTAAATCCTCAACTTACTGAAACAAATCCTTAACACTTCATCCATCGACCTTTCTTTCGACTCCCCTGACCTGGTCCCAGATTTTGAGTGGTCTGTGCTGGATGACCGTGCGGATCATTTCCCAATATTTCTCAAAAACAATAACCTCCAACACCTCCAACACAAACCGACCCCCAGAGCGCTTTAACTTCAAAAAGCATACTGGGACGGGTTTGTTATTGGATGCTTCCATATTTTGAACCCCACTTTCAGCCTCAACTACCACTAATTTCACGAACCGATTCCAGAAATGTGTCACCCGGAAAACTAGGTACGGTTTTCTGGGGTGTGTGGTAATGTCATAGACCCCAAAGAAAACGAAAGCAGCAAAAATGCTCCACCCCGAAGCCTCCATATTTTTCTGCGGAGGCCACTGCTATTGACTTGGCGTTAGACTCTGTAGAAAATTCTCCCAAATTATCGTTTCTCATTCTGTCCGATGCCTTGTCTTGCCTCACTCCACCCACCAATCTTCTTCACTTCACCTTCACCTATCCCGCAGACCGAATGTCCGTTGTGGTGCTATTGAAGATTTGGCCACCAGCTTCCTCCACTCCTTCCGCTCTTCAGATTTCCTGAGCGTGTCTTTGAGGTCCAGGCCTGTCTGTTCCTTGATTTTGTCCTTCCAACTCTCCATCGGTCTGTCTCTGCTCCTTTGCCCCTGGACGCTGCCTTGCAAGATCATCTTGGCAAGGCCGGATGAACGGATGATGTGTCTATGCCATTGCAGTTTGCATTTCCTGACCAAAGTGAGAAGGTCAGGGTATGGTCCAATTGCATTTTTGATCCGTTGTTCGACTTCATCATTTGTGATGTGATCTTTTTATGAGATACTTTTCGGAAGTATCTCATCTCCACAGCTTTGATCCTTTTTCTTTCACAGTCTGTATTCAAGGTCCAGGATTCACATGCATACAATTCTCAGATCTGTAAAAGTCATTAGCCTGTATTCTAAAAAGTAGATAATTTTTGTTTTAAAATGTAAACATCTGTTTTTATTTTCTAATCTTTTAAAAACAAGATTATTTTTTTTACCATGAGATGTTTTCCTTTACTTTAAAAGTAAAATATAGCCGTGCAGTGGGCTGTTGTGAATGCAATCAACTTGTGTTTCGTGTGTGCATGTGGCCTTAAGAAGTTGCTTGCGCCGTAAAACTCTCATTAAACTAACTGCAGAGCGTTGCTCCATGATGTACAGCAGAGCAAGCTTCTGGATTCCAACTCGTAGCTGGATCCGCCACGTGCCGTCTCACACACACACCCGGCGATACACAAATCAGAAAGCTACTGTCGTTATGTGGACACCAAAAATTCTGCACACACTCGAAGTGTGTATAGCGTTGTGTTTAGAAATAACGAAATAACAGCGTTATTCGGACGGGAACCAAATTCAAAAATATTTTAACACATGATGTAATTTTTGGCGGGAAATGCGATGGTGACCTTAAAACATTATGTGGACGTCTACATAACGGGGCATGTCTACATAAGGTGAGTGTGCAAATATACGATTGTCTACATAACTACGCAAAGACACACACACACACACACACACACACACACACACACACACACACACACACGCACACACACACACACACATGGACGTGCACACACACACGCACACACATACAGACGTACCAGTATGGTGGTGACCACCCTTGTCCTGTTCACATCCAGCTGTGCCATGTTGGCCTTATGTCGTGTGACTAACAGCTAGACAGACAGACAGACAGACAGACAGACAGACAGACAGACAGACAGACAGACAGACAGCCATACAGACAGACAGAAAAACAAACACACACACGGACGCACCAGTATAGTGGTGACCACCCTTGTCCTGTTCACATCCAGCTGTACCCTGTTGGCCTTAGGTCGTGTGAGGTTGGTGGTCAAACCCAGAGTCTCCGACCACGAGCCCACCTTCCTCAGGGGGTTCCTGTAGTCCAGCTGCATGAGGTCAAGTCTGTGACCCACTCGCTGACCGTGGCTGTTGATGGTCAGTGGGCCTGTGATCCCGGTGAAGTTGCTCTGTAGAAGATAGAGGAGGTGCGAGGGGAGTGGTGTGGGGTTGTTTGTGTTAGTAAGAGTTTTACGTACGCACTTGCAACACAATATTATGCGTCATAAAAGTGCTGAAGATTAGAGGTCTTACGAGCGTACAAGAAAGTATCAAACACAATATATAAGGAGGGGAGATAATGACGACATTTTAATGTTTGATAGGAAAGAAGTTTATTTTGGTAAGAGTTTTACGCGCGCACTTTCAACACAATAAGGTTACATATAAGTGCCGAAGATTAGAGGCGTTACAAGATAGTAACAAACACAAAAGAGAAGGAGGGGAGATAAATACGATAGGTGTTTGATAGGAAAGAAGAAGCAAACCACACCAGAGTACCCGCCAACCCCCCATGTGTGGGGTTGTGGGATTGGAGATTGAGGGATGGGAGGATAACTATACGCTCTCTGGCCGTCTAGGAGGATAATGATATTGGTGTTGTTGGGGGATGTGGACAAAAGGAGTGGGCTGAAACGATTGTGAAGGTTGTGTGGTGAGTGTTGAGGTTGGGGGGGAGGGGGGTGGGGAGTGTGGGATGGGAAGATAATAACGTTTGTGAGGCAGCGTGGGGGAAGGGATGGGGTGAAAGGGTTGTGAAGGTAATGGGGTGTGGGTTGAGGGGGGGGGTGAGGTTATTTGGGGAGGGGGAAAGGGGTTATGGGAGGTGAGATCATGGTGGAGGTGGGATTATGAATTAAAAAGAGGATGATTTGCTTTGTTTTAGCGCTAAACATTCATGGGTAAGAGGTCATGGATGCTCATTTGAGTGCACTTAAGCCCAAACTCGTATACACACATTTTGTACTCACATACAATCACACATAAATACACTTAATAATTTTCTTTCTCTAATGCCTTTTTATACACTGACATGCACACACAGTTTTCCCCTATTTCTCTCTCTCTCACTCTCCCCCCCCTCTCTCTATCTCTCTCTCTCTCTCTCTCTCTCTCTCTCTCTCTTGCTCTCTCATTCTCCTTCTTTCTATCCATTTCTCTGTATTTCTCTGTATTTCTCCCTCTCGCTGTTTCTCTTTACACTTACATGCACACATAAAGTCTCCCTCTCTTTCTCTCTTCCTCCTTCCCTCTCTTTCTCTCTTCCTCCTTCCCTCCCCCCTCTCTCTTTTCTCTCACTCTCTCTCTACACACACACACACACACACACACACACACACACACACACACACACACACACACACACACACATGTACGCTCATACACATGCTTAACCAAGTTGTTAGAAAAAACAAAACAACATATTATCTGTTCCTCTTCAAGCATATTACCGTACTTAACATGTAATAACGTACCACGCACTGGAGTCTTTCCTACGACTCAACGTGTTAACTACAAGAACCTCCCATCCCCTACCCCAATCCCCTATTAGCCCCTATCCCCACACACACCTCAAACCCAACACAATAAAACAAAAAAAAGGAAAACAAAATTAATTATCAATAAATATAAACCGTCCCAACAAATAAACAAAAAGAACTAAACAGTTCCAGGGATAGTTTAGATATTGCCACGGAGAAAGGCAGAGAATATTACTTGTCTGGGAATCCCACGCAATAGGCGTAAATAATGCTATTGACGAAAAAAAGACAAACTGGCAAATTGGCAACTGGATTAAATTGGGGTAATTATCTTGGCCAGGAGGGAAATGCATGAAGAAGCCAAAAGTTAAAGCAGTGGAGGAGAAAAAAAATGGTATTACACTGGCATTTTCTATCTTGATAATTTCTTCTAAATTAAGAGAGCTCAAATCGTTTAATGCATTCAAACGTCAACTTCAATCCTTTTTGTTATTAAGGTTATAGAGACATGGTAATATCTGAACTTTTAGTCAGAGTGCAGTGTACTGTTTGTGTTGTGTTACTCCTTGTTTTCTTTTTTTTTTGGAGAGGTGGAAGGGGGG